TGAAGCCAACTTTACCAAAGGTATAATTTAATTTTATTGTTCTGAGAAAATATAAGATGATTTTTATTTTATTTTCTTAGATTCATATCTGTTTTATTTTATAATCCTACTTTATTACTTTTAGGCAAATGTGAAAGCTAGCACTTCCTCGGGGTTTTTAACTAAACCTGAGCAATACAGTGGAGCCACATTACGAAATCACCGAGCTGCTCCAAGTCCCACACCGCCAAAAACTGATGCTTCTGATGATGAGAATACAATTTTCACTGAAGAACAGGTATACATTATATAATATTCATATTTAATTGATGTATTTTTCTGCATTGTTTTCTGTATTAATCTCCTTATCATTTTTCTCAAGATCTATTTCTACAGTGTGGCAATAAGTTTATTCCTGCCATGCCCATTGACAATGAAAATATTCAGTATTTAGATCTTGACTTAGATACTGATGGAACCAGCAATACTTTACCTCCAAGTCGCCTGGATCCAGCACCGTCTATAAACAAGTTGATTTTGTTAAAACAGAGGCTTTTAAAATTACAAAACAGTCTGCCGAAAAAGCAGAACTGAGAAACAAAACAAAGAACTGAAAAAGGATACATGATAAACTAATCATATGCTGAAATTTTATAAAGTGGTATTGAATATCAATATGATCAATAATTTTAAAATATTCTATCTAATATCTTTTCTATATGTGCCGAAAAAAGCAGAACTCAGAAGCAAAATAAAAAAGAATACATGATAATTGACCCCTACTTACATATCAAAATGTTAAATAATTTTCAAATGTTCTATAATATTTTTTCCAAATATTTTTAATTATGCTGAGAAAGCGGAACTCAGAAGCACAACACAGAACTGAAAAATAATACATGTTAAATTATTCATGTTATTAAATATCAAAATGATATTATGACAAAAGATGACATATTTTTAAATATATTAAAGCCTTATAGAACATCGTCTATGCATGATTAGTACAATTGTATTATAGATACTTTAAGTTAGGATATGCCAAAAATTTTAACTATATTTTTATAAAATGTTATATACTCTATACCTATCAACCTATAAATTTATTCTAACATGTGCCTGTTAATGATAATTATTATATTCTATAAACACTACCGTACAGTAGATTAAATCTACATTTTTAATAGTAATTGTAATTTATAGTTTGATTTTTGTTTTACGTCAGTATTTTACAATAGTATTGGTTAACTGAATTTTCTTCTTACTGTTATTTACTAATTATGATCTCATATTTCAATTAAAGCTGTGGCTTTCATGAGGTTCAACAAATTTTTAATATATTGTATTCAAGTTTTTTATTTTTGAAAATTAATTTAGTTTCAATCAAAGTATTTTTTATTCATGACATATTATAGTATTCTACTTTAAGTATTAAATTATTAAATATATTTTATATTATATTATATATATATATTAAAATCATTGTGCCTTCTTGGTACTTGGTATATTTTATCTTGAGCGTTAATTAAATCGAATGTTTGCGCTTACATTCTGTAGCCTACTAAATATTACATACATACGCATCTTCAATCTATGAAAAATTGGTTACTTATGTATCATATTTTTTCTGAACACATTTAGCTGATGTGTACACACAAATATGATTAATAAAACTTAAATCAACAAACAAAAGAAAATTATGTTATTTAAAAAATTTTTGTAAATTTGTTTGACCTTATTATAACTAATGGCTGGATTAGGTTTATTATATGAGGATGGAGCATGGATATGGGATCATTCAATAGAAGGTTTACGTTATGATAAAAAAGTACAAAAAACTGAAAAAGGTGAAGAAAAGGATGTCAAGAAGGAAGTTGATAAGTACATACTAGCGTTCAATGATAACGTAGATAGTATAGAAATGGCAAAATTTAGACATAAGTACCAAAGGCATTGTAAACCAGGAAGACCAGAAGTCATAACTATTCAAGATATAAAAGATGTTGCAATTTTTACAGCAAATCAGGCAAAAATGACATATGAATTTTTAAACTTTTTTCATATTCCAACAGTTGATCGGTTCTTAAGAGCTCTCATCGTATATTTTGATTATTACATAAAAGTTTTTGATCTGCTGACTTATAGACGAGGAAGAATGAACAGAAAATTAAGAAATCCTTCCAGTGTTGTGATAGAAAAACTTATCGCTGATGAGTTAGGAGATTATCGGGCGATGATAGGACGAGAATATTGTAATATGATTTTGGGAGCTGCAGATTGCTATCCTTACCATCATTTGTCAAACAAAAATCGCACATCTATGACCAAAAAGGATGCTCGACTTACTGATTTACTACTGAGTATGGCAATGAGAGTTGTATGGTTGACTATGAATCGGCAAAATTATAATTTGATAGAAGTTGAAATTCATAGATTATTTCGGACAGAGTTTTATAATGTAATTGTACACCGTCAAATAGATCATCAACAACCTTTGCCTCAAATCGAGGAGTATATTCTTCACGGTCCTCCTCCTCCACAGAAAAAGTTACTCAGAAGAACTCCAGCATGCGAGGAAATTTTAAAACAACACGATTTTCGATTAATAGGAGCCGGAGTTGTTAAAACTGATAATTTATCTGAAAAACTTGTTCAAATGCAAGCAGCTTATTTACTGCCTGAGCACGAACTTATTTCGCATGGATTTTCCTTTGGTATTCTTGGTCGCCCCGGTCTGATTTTGATCCCATGTTGATGGAATTATCAAAGGAAGAAAAGGAAGGATCGTTGACAAAACTTCTAAAAGTAATTGACACGCAAGAATCTGAATTGTCCATAGTTGAAGACTCGATCGAAGAAGAAATAAGCATGGAGTCTTTAACCATTGAAAGTTCTTTGAGCTATTTAAGCGGATACGGAAAGAGCATTGTTGTAGAATTGGACCCTGATATCGAAGAAGAACACAAAGAAAAATATATTGAAGAAGAGCAATCTAAAACAACTTCTGAATCTGTTTCTGAAGAATATGTTCCTGAAATGCCACCGATGCCTGTGGATACTTCTATTTGCAAATTGGATGCACCGTCTCATTTATTCTATATGCCTACTGAAGATGATATGTTTTATAGAATTCCCAGTGAATTTCCAAGTGCTGATCACATTGAGGATGAAGATCGCTCTGCAAAACAACAATTGTTGATTTGGTTGAAACGAAAGCGAGCATTTGAGAAAGAAAAATTGAAAATAAATCAAATATAGCTATTTTATTAGAAACATTCAAAGATTATATACGTTCAATTTACAATATTTTTTTTAAGTATATGTTAAAAATGTAGGGATTAAAGAAGTTAATTTATGTAATATAGCATTAAAAAGAATAAGGTTTTTAATGAATTTATAGATATGTACATAAATACTTATAGAGCTTATTAATTATTACTAGCTATAGAAGTTGATAGATTTTTTTTTTAAATATCTAACGTTTAACGAATGGTGCTAACGATTTTGCAAAATTAACAAGGTAACTTTTTTTTAAAAAAACCGCCCCAATGCGTAGCGCAGTTCACGTTAACTCTTAATTGTTTTTTGGCGGGCTGTCAAGTCAGCTGTACGAGCCAACGATTTAAATATCACAATGTTTTATTTTTTAATAATTTAATTATTTGTTGATGTTTTTAAGTATGTTTTATAATCATTTAAATCGTAATTTAGAATAATAAAGTTTTTAATATTATCATGTCTTATAGTTGATATTTTATTTTATCTTGTGTGAGGCTCACTAAAAACATGGATAAATCATATCAAAAGTACAAATATAAAGTTAAATTGTGGGAGACTAAATTTAAGAAGAAGAATGGAAGAATACCTTCAAAGGTGATAAAAATATTGATAAAGGTTTACTAGATGATTTACTAATATATCTTATTTACATTCATTATTTATTCTAGCACGATATTCATGAGGCTGAATTAGAAATTCGTGAAGCTTACAAGATGTATTTTAAACTTAAATCAGCAATATTGGAAGAAACACTTATGGACATAAGTTTTGATGATTTGGATACCACAGAACCGATGAACGAATGTTCCCAAAGTTCCCAAACAGTAAAAGATGCTGACAGTTCACACGAAGAAATAAATAAATTACAAAATACAGATGAAAAATCTCCCTTAAAATTTAACTTAGAGAAAGAAAACACTTGTTGGAATGTTGACAAAAAAGAAGATGACAGAAAAGTTGAAGAAATTTGGGGTTCACACTTGAGTAACAAGTTAAAACCGGAAGTAAAACCAAGCATTCCTATAAAAGTGAAAATGCTACAGTTAAACTATCTCAAAAATTATTTAAAAATTCTAGTTTTTCAAAACGTAATCCCAGAAAGTCTTTATCTAGTCAATCATTAAATCGTTCTGAATCTAATTTAAGTATGTCTTTCTCTCAACCCGATTCACAATCATCACAAAATTCTGCAGTTGAAAGTTTGCCAGATATGGATAAATTGCTTTCATCTCAAGCTGAGTCGCAAGAATTTAAAACTAATGCTGCTTACAGTTCACAACCACTTCCAAAAACATTGAGGAGCATTGATAAAGGATGGCTGGATCGTTGCACTTTATCAACAAGTTTATCCCAACCTGATTCAGGTTTTAGTAGTTTAGAAAGCACCTATGAATTTTCAAAACCTAATGATGTTGAGGAGCATAAAACATTTGGTTTAAGAAACATAGATTCAAAACAATTAAAGAATGTAATAAATACTCCTGTAGAGTCTTTTGGGCAAGATAACACAGTAATAGATGATATTGTTTATAATAGTGAGTCGGAGGATGAAGCTAGTGCTTTTGAAATTCTGAAAAAACGAAAAATTGATTCTTCTCAGACTTCTCCAAAGTTTAAAAACACGGTATGTATTATATAATTTTATCTTTAACAAAATTTGTGTAACATATAATTTAAAAGGATTTTTGTTCTAATTATAAAGTGCTACTTATAAAAAAAACATTACAATGCATGGCAGTTTCTCCTTATTTATGAATGAACAGTTTATTAAAATCTTCTAAAATTTATCTAAAAATAAAATAATAAAAAATATGATAAATATTTTTTTTACAGACTTCTGTAAAAGTTCAAAATAGTTACATTCCTAAGAAAATTCAAGATGAACCTCAAAATACAGTTATTTCCAATAATACTAGCTTTGAAAATGTTGGGTGTTTTGAAGAAATTTCTCCAAATTCCCAAAAGAAAAAGAAATTGATTTATGATCACAGTATACTTGAAGTACCTGTTCCTAAGAAACGAATTGCAAGAAATGAAACTAAAAAAATTATTCAGAACAACATGATGAAGATATGGAGGATCCATTTAGCTTTAATTCTGATGATGATCCTGAATTTGTTGTTGAAAAAGAAGAACCACAACCAAAAAATATTCCTGGGGAAAAGAAAAAACTCGCAAAACTGCTACTAAAACCACAACTGAAGGAAGAACTAGAGCTGCTAAAACAAAAAAAAATAGTAACTTCCATAAATCTATACAAACTCGTAAAAAAGCTTCAAAAAATAAAGAAGAAACTAAAGAGTCCGAACCAGATATAAATAGTTTAAATGAAACTGAATATGCCTTAGAATTTTCAATAGACCCCAACAACGCAACTAATGTTTCAAGATTTGGTGTTCATGTTGATGGTGAAGTCAAGGGAGATTTGGTAAAGGAATATGCATCGGTCATATCGAGCAATGCCAGTGATATTGTAGAAAAAAGTCTGAAATCTGTACAAAAATTTGATGAAACAAAATTACAAAAAGCTTCTAGAGAGAAAATGAATGAGAACTTCATTAGGATTGATCTAAAAAAGAAAGTTTATGTGAGAGGTACTAAATATTAATTTAGTAATCAAATTGTTGATATTTTGAAATGTAGTACTACTATCTGTTTGCAGGCAAAAAACCAATTAATTATAGTAGATACAAAAAAGCTAGGTGGAAGGAACGAAAGGCTGCTGCATTGGCTGGTCCAGACATGGATATGGGTGGTTGTGATGGCGGCTTGCTGAAATGTTTTAGATGTGGCCATGTAGGTCATTTCGCCCAGCAATGTAAAGCAAAAATTGGTAAGTTGAAATTCCCATGTTCTCAGTATATATTTTTTTAAATATATTTGCTTTATAATTATGCTTTTAGATACAAATTATTTGTAAGTGTGCGACTATTTTATAATTATAATTTGCATCAAGCCAAAATGCCACTTACACATAGCTTTAATATATTTTTTTAAGTGTTACACTATTTATATCTATGATTTTTTCTAATGTAGTTTGATTTCTGTATAAAACTTTGTATAAAAATTCATTACAATTACAATAAAAGTACATAAAGTATACAAGACAATAAAATACATAATTTTAAAGTATTGTTGTTAACACACTATAGGCGGGCCCCGTAAAAATACTCGTCAGACCAAACTGATATGTGTAGCGGGCAAATCGCTTGCTCGACACGAGTGCTCTTTCCGTCGCCTCGCATGAAACCAAATGGCTGTCACATTGAACATATTTTTTATAACTCTTTTTTTAAAAAAAAAAACCGTCTGGTTGTTTTGAACTATAAAAAATTATTTAATTAATGCATAATTAAACATAAACTAACAAAAACTAGTGAATAGCATCGTGCCTTCAGGCAAATTGCTGAAACTCCCTGTACCATAACGAAATGTTCGAGGAATATTGAGTATTGAATGAAATATTTTTTTTTCTAAAGCAATTGTTATGTCACACAATCAGAATGTTTTTTGAATCATTCAATTCGGATGCTTATTTCTATCAAAAACTGCCATTTTGTGTACATTTGCTCCGTATCTTTGAAATGGCCTGACCCGCCTTTGCCAAAAACTAATCACCACTTCTCCCAATCATTACTAATTTAATGTTTTTTAGATCATTCAAATCGGATGCTCCGTTCTCTCAAAAACTCGATTTCTATTTTCTGCACTTTTTGCTCTGTATCTCCGTAACGGCTGGACCTGCGATTGCCAAAAACTAATGAGCACATCTCCCTATCAATAAGAATCGAATTCTTGATTTTCCGCCCATTACTATATATAGGTTAGTTATAACTAACCTACGGAAAGTTAAAAAATTAACGTACAGTAGATATATAAACCACTTTTTACATACGTGAAATTTATGGAAAAAATCACCCCTTATGAAGAGGTGCTGGGACCCGAATAGCAAAAATAGCTGAACCACTTCAATTAAACTATTTGGTTTCAAAACAACGCAACTTTGACCTAAAAATGATTCAATAATTTAAGGGTTGTCAAATTCTGACCACTCCACTTCTTCATTGTCATTATTTCCAGAATCTCTGGATATAATCGGTAAAACTCTACGTCTTCTAGGATGAAAAAAATCTTCATCCACATACACTACCAAAATCAGTAATATCAAAATCACTTCCAATTTGTGATAAATTATTGGCGCAAACTTTACTATCGCTATCCGATGCCATTATTTCATTATTGCAAATAACAATGTAAAAAAGATTTGAACTATACAAATCTGACAAATAACTAAAATATTTGATAAAATATATATTGATCACCTTTTTATTGTTGTAAATTCTGCATATTTATCTACAAAACAAATTGCGAGTAGCTTGAATGAAAAGAAACTTGAAGATAAAACATATTGTTTCTTATCCTTATTCTTATTCTAAAAGTCTTTCAATACGTAAATCAATTGAATCTAGAGTGAAGTATCAGCTATTCTTTCCATATCATATGCAAACCGATCAGATAAAAGTATTTTGACTCGCTTTTAAAGTTAGTCTATTCAAAGCGTAATAATACCTTGCCCGCCGATAAGCAACAGTCCTCGCAGAGCGTAATTTTACGGGGCCCGCCTATAGTGTGTTAACAGTAAACATCATAAAATATATTTGATTTATCATAATTTGAAGGTGAACAATTACTACCTTTGGAACAAGACGTTGAGATTTGCCCATACCCAAGCTTAGAAGAGGCTTCAGCAATGGCAACTGAATCACTTTTACTGGCTCATGCTAATAGACCAAATTCGATTCCACAGGCATCAAAAATGGCAATAGAAGAACAGCCATCAGAATCAGCCGTGGATATAGAATTTGAAAGTGATTTTGATGCTTCCATGCTGGACCAGTCATTTAATGAAGAAAAAGAATCTGATGAACAAATTGAAAACAATGCCGAAGAAGTTCAATATATTAATAATCAAGATGATAGTAACAATGGTCATAATACAGTTGATAGTGAGATAAATGTTGTAACAAGTAAAAATGAGCAGGAAAACACAGATTCTCAACTGGCTCCTAAAGTGTTTAAAAGACATGTCATTCCTGAAGCTTTATTAAGTCAATTATTGCCTGCAACTAAAGATGAAAAAGAAGAAATTATGCCATTGTATAATTTGAATTCTGATGGAACTCTTATGAGTAAGTTATTTATACATAATTTTGAAAATAATTTTTAAACACATATAAAATACTACACATTTCTATACTACATCATTATATATATTGATTGTTGATATTTCAAAACATGTTATAGATATGAATGAATAATGAGTTATTTATTTATTCATTTAAATACAATGGGCAGTATAAAGATATAGTAACAATAAATACCAATATTCTATAATTAGGTAAATAAGCAAAATTATTCAATGCAAGATTTAGTAAATTTAATTTTCTATTATAATAATAATGAAAATTAATAAATTTCGTAATTGCGTAATTTCTTAATGGCATAATTCATTCTACTAATAATATAACATTTCACCTCTTTTTGAATAAAATATATTTTTATTCCAATAAAAATAAATTATAAATAATTCTATGAACAAATAATGAATATACATTTTCACATTTTCTAGAAACTCCAAAAGAAGTTTATTCTATTCTAAACATGTTTGGCCATAAAGAATTCCGACCTGGTCAAGAAAAAGCAGTCATGCGTATCTTATCAGGACTCTCTACTCTTGTAACATTAAGCACTGGTAGTGGAAAATCACTTTGTTACCAGCTGCCTGCTTATCTGTATGCGCAGATGAAACCTTGTATCACTTTGGTTATTTCACCTTTAGTATCATTGATGGAAGACCAGGTAATAAATTGAAGCCCGTTTTTTTTTTATTGTTTATAACAAATGTCTGTCATACATATTTCAGGTAACCGGTGTCCCTGATTTTCTTCATGCAACTTGTTTACACACAAATCAAACTCCACAACAAAGGGAGAATATTATGCAGGTTAGATCTAGATTTAAAGAATTGTTTCATTAAATTACACTATGCATTGAAAATTATTTATGTTTAGGCAATTCAATCCGGGATGGTCAATATTCTTCTAGTTTCTCCAGAGGCAATTGTTTCTGGTGAGAAGAAAACTGGGTTTGGTGCGCTACTTCGAAGTTTGCCTCCAATAGCCTTTGCTTGTATAGATGAGGCCCATTGTGTTAGTCAGTGGAGTCACAACTTCAGGCCCAGTTACTTAATGATATGCCAGGTAACTTATCATTAATGTCTTAAATTCAAAATGTACAATTGTTGTAAGAAGTAATAATGTTCTTATTACAAAACTTATTTCACAGGTTTTTACGGGAAAAATTAGGTGTGAAAACTGTGTTAGGTTTAACAGCTACAGCCACAAGACAAACACGTGAAAGCATAGTCCAACATTTACAAATTCCTGATGGTTTGAATGGTATTATTAGTGACATACCTCTTCCCAATAACTTGAATTTATCTGTATCTAAAGATTATAATCGTGATAGGGCCTTGATAGAATTACTAAAAAGTGAAAGGTATGTATACTTTGTGATCCTATCATTTTGAAATTGTTTTTATAAAATCTTTGTATTTTTTTTTCAGATTTGCAAGTCTTCAATCCATTATTGTTTATTGCACACGGAGGCAAGAATGTGAACGATTGGCCAGTTTTATAAGAACTTGCTTGCAGGTTTGTTATATAAAATTATTAGTAAATTTTATGTAGACATTAATGACTATATTTTTTATTACTTTATTAGGACTTGAAACCTCCAGAAGAAAAACAACAACGCAAACGTAAAAGATCAAGCGTTACTTGGAATGCTGAGCCATACCATGCTGGTATGAGTGCTTCACGTCGAAGAACTGTTCAGAATGCATTTATGAGAGGCGATCTGAGAATAGTTATAGCTACTGTAGCTTTTGGTAAGATTATTTTTTATCTTATTAAAATGTAATATGCAAAATCACTAATAGTTGTGTTTTAAAAGTATTTTCTTTTAATCCTAGTCAAGTTCTTTTATAAATAGTCTGAAAAAATTAATTCCTAAGAACTCTTGCAGCTTCAATAAAAATTACTTCAGGTTTTACTAGGTCTTCAAATAAAATATGCTTATTGTATAGTATTATTAACTTCTTGAAGGAGAAATCTGTTTTTGCATAAAATCCGATTTGCTAATATAACTATAGTATTCTTACTTACTATTTACAACTAGTTATTTATTATTAATCTGGGTATTTATATAAGAACTTTTAATCATATACGCTTGTATTTACAGGAATGGGTATAAATAAATCCGATATACGCGCTATTATACATTACAACATGCCTCGAACATTTGAAAATTATGTCCAGGAAGTTGGAAGAGCAGGCCGTGATGGACTTCAAGCTCATTGTCACTTATTTTTGGATTCAAAGGTAATCAATGAATTTTTAAGTTATTTTAATTAATAACCTGTTGAATAGAGCAATTTCTTCTTATGAATATTTTTAATGTTTTTTTTTTCTATTTATGTCTTTTAGGGAGAAGATCAAAATGAATTAAAACGTCATATATATGCTGATTCTATTGATAGGCATGTTATAAGAAAATTATTGCAAAGGGTATTTGTTCCATGTAAATGTGCAGAAACACCAAATCATCTCAGGTTTTATTTGTATCTTATTTTATTCTTATATATCATCTTCAATAAATTGTGTATTATAAAATTATATTTTTTATAGAGTATCGAAACGAAGAAGCGAATGAAATAATTTCTAATTCATCTTTTGAAAACCCTGTTAATACAAGAAATCGAATATGTCCAGGTTAAGAAATGAAATTGTTTTTTATGCATTTATTATATAGTGATCAAACTGCTATAAAATTTAATTTGTTCTTATCAATTTTTAGGCCATGAAGTAGCATTTAGTGTATCTGAAACTGTACAAGCTTTGGATATTCCAGAGGAAAATATATCAACACTACTGCTATTTAGAACTACACCAAATATATTAGAACTACACAATAATTATGTTCACGTACTAAGTTCTGCTTATACCACATGCCGAATTACTTCATACGGCGGACCAAAGCAATTGAGGTAAGGATAAAATTATTACTGAATTATTTACATCTATTGTTATAAAGACTGTTTTTTACTGTTCTTACAATGCTGTTTTTTATAAAACAATATTATTAATTGTGTATTTTATTTAATGATAGGTTAGCTGCTCAAAATTGTCCACCACTTGCAATGGCGATTGCATTAGATTTGAAAAGAGGAATCAATCATGATGAAACAAGTATTTTGGAATTTAAAGTCATCGATATTGCCTCTGCAATAGGTTGGGATAGTGGAGTTGTAAAGTACATTTAAAAAAGTTGGAGTGGTCTACAGGTATGTAGAAACTTATTTTCATTGTAGCTTGTTTTGTGGTAAAAAGTTTTGCCAAGGTAAGATGCTACTTACAACTTTGTTTTATTTATTGCTAGTTTGGGGGAGATCTGCTCTGATTATTATTATTATTTTTTTTTTTTTTGTAACTTTTCATTTAATTTTGTAGAAAACGGTGCATCGAAAAGAACTAGCCTAAATGTTGAATTTTCTGATTTGGGTTTTCGAGTACGTTCGGCGGGCGATTTAACAGATGAAGAATTAGATGAAACTCTTGATATGTTATATGAAAGAACATCTAAGCAAGAACATAAAGCTCTATTACAGGTAAATAGCTTTAATTTATCATCACTCTAAACTTTATTACTTCTATAACTACATTATTTGCAGCTCCAATCTGTATTCGAAGCCATGACTTCGGTATCTTTTCAAGATTGCAGTAATTGCTCTAGTTCAGCATTGATAAAAGAACGCTCGGATCAGTTAAAGTTAATTTTCGAATATTTTCATATTTTCATAAAGATAAAGATGATTCTGTGATGCCAATGCAAAGTGTAAGTTTTTGTCAAGAATATTATTAAAAAAAAGTGAGTTTTATAACAAAATTGGCATTCATGAATTTCAGATTAAGTCAAATACAGAAGGTCAAATTATTTCCGATGTACGAGCTATGATCTCTAATTATCCTGAAAATAATTTTACTGGGCGGGCCCTAGCTAGAATTTTTTATGGAATTCAGAGTCCTAATTATCCTGCTGTGATATGGGGCAGATGTCGTTATTGGAGACGGCATTTGCATGAAGACTTCTATCAGCTTATTGCTATTGCAAATAGAGAAATAATTCGAATGAGGTAATTAATTATTGACCTATTATTATAGTCATATTTATTGGTTGATTGTTAAATGAAAATTATAAAATGTAAGGAATTTAAAATCTGACTCAAACAGTTGGTTTTAAATGTTATTTTTTGTAAATTGTTAAATACAGTGTCGTTATTGATTAGGAAAAAGGTTTTTAGATTTGAGCAGTAACTAGTTATTATACGCGAAATTGATTGGACTTCAATAAAATATTTTATTTAAATTGATACGAATAGAATTAAATATAATATGAGCATCAACTTAATATAAATAATTGATAAAGTTACTACATCTTATTTATTACACTATTCTTTTTCTATTAAAAACATCTATTTAATCATTAAACCTTCTTTTTATACATACATCTTATATACTATTCTTTCTTTTACTATTGAAAA